ACAGCGTGGGTTCGAATCGGGGCCCCTCCCACTCGTATTCTTTGATCTCTTTATACATTTCTCTGGACTACTCTCTGTGTGACACATTCTCCTTGGATCCAATAGACCAAAAGTGTCTCGTCTCCGGCTTGGATCCACCAACAGTTCATCACCCTTTTTAACAAATATCCATCATCTCTACCAACTATTCTTTCCCCCCTATACTCACTTTTTTTTAGCTCAAGTGATTCCAGGTTCAATCACGAGCTTCCACTTTTTGTTTTAATGATTGTTCACTTTCAGATTCGTCCCTAACCACCAATTCTTCCACTACCATCTACCAAACGGGAACCTGCGGTTGGAGTAGTTTCCTCTGGTTAAGAGCTTTTAGATGCGATCTACACTACTGTGGCCCTGCCCATTCTGTCATCACTTCAATTGAAACGCTCTGCTGTCAAGAGCGTTTCTCTGCTCCACGGTGCAGCAATACAACCACTGTTTACTTATCCTGTCGCTGTTAGGTCTCGCCCCCCTCCAACCACGATGCAGCGCGTCCTTGCGTTCTTTGGGCAGGACTACTTCAACTCTATATACCACGGTGATAATTCTTTCATATTTGAAATGCCTGCTTTCCTCTTGTAGGAACAGGCGCACTTTGATAGTGAAGTCTTTCACAAGAAATATTGTAGTCATAGAGTTTCTTATATGACGCTTTAACAAAGATACTCCCAACACCAGCTTGCATTTGTTCGTCACAGCATTCATTATCTGATTTGCTTTTGTCAAAACGAGTGATCTACCGCATGCTTAGGTTCTATATATTAGTTTTATTTTCTTCTCCTTTTAGAGATACCTAACAACTTCAACATCTCTCTCTCATAGGTCCGTCCCTATCATCGACCAATTTGAAACACAGACTGCAATCTCTCAGTGATTATATCCAGATCTACAGACACAGTTCTATTCCTAGCGACAACATGGTGATCTCTGATAAAAAAGAAGCTGGCACTGCAAATGAAGTTGTACTCTCCACCATGAACTGTGTTGAAATCGGGGGATTGCCTGCCATGGAGTCAAACCTCTCAGTTCTAGAGGTAAAGTTGCCCTCCTTCGACTCAGACTCCTTAAATCATATATATCGCTAATATCATTCCTATCCTAGGATTTCAAAGTCGTAGCGGACTCCTTCGACAGTCTTAGCATCACCAATACCGGCAGCAAAAGCAATGACACCACAGACGACGAAATTGCTACCCCCGAGAATGACGTCGAGCATGAGCAGGAAAACAACAACTCCAGCGGAGACGACGCAGCCTCCGTCATTTCCAGTAGCAGCAGCAGCGTCGCATCCAGTGCCTCCACCACTGCCTCCCTCTCTACCCAAACTGAAATGGCCCTCCTTGCACGTCACGTGCGCAGCACACTGAACGAAATCGTCGCTGCTGAAAACACCTTGGCCACTCTTCCCGCGTACGATGTCTTTGAAATCTCAGAGCAGCTCCAGCAAACCGCTTTACGCATTCTTACTGTGTATATGTCCCTGTGCGACTTGTTTGAACAGGGGGAGAGTGCTGGCGGATATGAGATGGCTGCTACTATTCGTGCAGTGATTGCGGAATATCCGACTATCAGGGGAAGGTGTGGGATTTAAGGATCGAAGGTGGTGTATTGGGTAGCGCTTACATATGTGTAAAGCAGATAGGAGGGGTGTAGGGGATAACCTTTTGAGATTTTTTTTTTTTTTTTTTTTTTTTTTTTTTTGAAAAAGGAAATCGAACGATTTGGGTTTGGAAAACGAAGGGGGTGAATTTCTGTACCAATCAATCAAATCTACTGGCCCGTTGGCTGTTTTCTTCACCAGTTAGAGAACTCGCAGCTTTCCCTGCGTCTACTGTATTCCCAACTACAGTGATACATTCATATTACGTGACAAGTGAAGGAAGTAGGAATCCATTATACTTGCCAATCTTCCCTTACAGTGTATTAACTGCAGTCGAGAACTTAGCTCCGCGAGAAGCATTTTTCCTGGTTTGCCCTCGATGAAGCTGCCACCTTAAGCCAAATCGGAGCTCAAAGCAAGTATGATAAATTTATAGGCCCATGACCATCAGGGACATGATAATGACCATATCCAAGTGCATGTAATAATATGCTTCCCGCCTCCTTTCCTACAGTCTCAGTTCCAGATGAGCCTCGCTATTGCCGGGGAATGAAAGCATAGAGATAAAAAGGAGGTGTGATCAGTCAGTGCGTCAAACAATACAAAGCCATCAGTAACACTCGAGAATACAAGCTACATCACACATAGCAACTACACAAGCATTCAAATGCAGTTTTATTGAAGTTGATTTGATGTGCTTTTTTTGGTGGTGGAAGTGCTGTTAATTCTCCCAAATACAAATTCCATGAGATATCACGGCTTTTCTCAAGAATGTATCGTCATAGGAGTTCTCCAGTGTTTTGTGGTTGGCATGATCACAGAAATAGAAGAAGAAAAAAACCTGTCCTAGCAATGATCTTAGCCATTGAAATGCTGATAAAATAAGCAGGATCCTTGGATAGTTGAATAGAGTACGACAGAGAGTGAGAGAGTGTCAACCAATACAAACAGATGTCTTCCCTGAAGCCATGCGAGGGATTTGACATATATCACCGAACCAGTGTATACCAAGGGTACACACCACATTTTCTTTCGTTCGTTCGGGTTAGGGTAATAGCGATGTGACAAACGAAAATATCATTTTTCTGTGACACCTATTTTAAAAAGAATGGCCAAAACAGTATAACCCGTTGAAAAGCAACGTTGCACATTCGCGTCAGATTCATAATTTGTGTAGGAGATGAAGAAATGTAGAGTGAAAATCAAATATTTGTGTTGTGGTGTTGGGTTGCTGGCGTACAGTCAGCAAGGGAAGCAGATTACTGGACCGTGATATATGGATTCAGAAAAGGGGTCATGTTAAGCTATGCAAACGCATCTGGGTATGTGAAATCCTCACAACTTAGAATGTAGTCCCCTCCCCCTTTATTTTTAGCAGCATCAGGGAAAGTAACTAGCGAGAGCGGTGCACCCATAATAATCCTCAGAAAAACTACAACCGAAAACCTCATTTTAAAATAACAAAACGCAATCAACAATGCTTCTATGAAGGAGAGGCATAAGGATATCCTCTCAGAAATTCCATTCCGAGAGAAATAGACACAAACAAGGGAACGCCAAGAACAGAGAAATAAAGAGCAGCAGAAGGTTATAACCTTCTCAGGCCACCTCGCATGCTAGCAAGGCGCTCTGCCTTAGGCTCAGTCAGGGCCCAAGGGAGATTTGGAATTATTTTATGGTTCGGTGTTGGACCTTTGCTATCACGATCCGCAGTGATCTGCCGGATCAGCCCCAACCAGTTGAAATTCACGCAGGGGGAAATACAGAGAAAAAAAGCTTCAAACTATTGATGGAGTTCCTTGTTCGCATTGGGCGTTGCGATGGATTGAGTGACGAACGTAATCACGATGGTATTGTCGAATTGGTTTGATGTTTGAAGATGCGTTTGGCGATAGTTAACCCGCTGATCGCGAGATTTTAGCAGCTAATTAAAATAAATAAATTTATAATTTGAAAGGCCGAGGAGTAAAGGAGCGAGGAATATGACAAACCCACGGAAACCAAGTATGAATGTCAGCTAATGCGACCTGGTACAGATAACGAACTGTCGTCCATTATTATTGTTGCATGGGCAACAATATGGCACACCAGGCGGAGTCGAAATTTACTTGACAGTGAACATATGGTGAGGTTCTCAACATGGAAGCTGGAACAATTGGCAAGCCCAAGGGGTTGGTTCATTGCATACACGAGAACATTTCCAAAACTGCCTTGCCTTGGCTTTCTTCATGTCGTCGGGCCAAAAGGCAATTAGTCTACACAGATGGTATTTGGCCGTAACATGGAGGTTGCCCATGAGAGGGCGTTTTGGTCTGTTCCAGTTGCAGATATCTCGAGGCAAAAGGTTTAGCTATCCCCAAGAGATGCAGCTGTGGATGCGGAACTGGCCATGGCTCAAAATGAGGCGACAATGATGTGACCTGTCTAAGAGGAGCACCCGCAGACCGAGCCAACAAAATTCGGGGTGACATGGCTGACGCCATGTCTCCCGAAGCTGCTCGCTTGCAATGTTCATCACCTGCTAATTGAACGTTATTTAGGGACCACAAAAGCGCTTCGAGGGGGGTCTGATCTCCTGACCAGGATGCAGCATAGAGCAAGATAAAGGAGGAAAATTCCCGCGTGTGCAGAAATCAAGAAATTTGTCGAATCTACTGGACGCTCGGATTTTGCACCTTGGATGAACCAACCACACGAAACACGCCCGGTTTTTTGATGTGTCGGCTTCGACAATCAAGCTCATGCCAGCACAGAACCCGTGGACTTTACCAGTAGTTACGGCTTCGCCGATAATGCAGAATAACCCCAGGCTTAAGAAAAGATAGAAGAGGGGATATCCTTGCTCGACCTCATTGTTGGGCCGATGTTCGCCAGGCTAGTATTAAGTGACCGTCGATGATAATTCAGGGCATGAAGGGCAACTTCTTATTTGTTTCTCGGAGTATTCAAGGTCTGGCATGATGGATCCTGTTGGCCTAGTTAGGTCCAAGAAAAAAAACTTGGAATTCCGTAGTCTGTACGGCTGGATCGTTTGAAGCCTAAACGGAATCCAGCACATGCACCCATATTTTTGATGAGAGCAATGGCATTTCCTTGCTTCTCGTCGTGGAATCAAGCATGTTTTACACTGGTGTGAGGGGGAAATCTTTGAGAACTTCGGCTTCTTGTTCCAGCGCACAGCACATGTACAGACACAGGTTCATCCTATCATCCTTTTTTCGCGGCATGTGGTGTGTGCTGGCTCAGTCAAAAACTGACGAGGATGCGTTGTTCGATGCATGGATTCGAGCAAGGAAATATATGCAAGTAAGTAGGTAGGTACACGTGCGTCAAGTAACTCCGTACACTGCAGAGATATCTTTGGTCCCTTGCATTTTTGTAACATGTCATTTTAACAACAGGGAATAGAAACATAGGTCTTATACATAGTATCCTCTTGAAAAAGCGTCCTTCCACCGTCTCGTGCCTGGCAATATTGATCTCTCCTTCGATACCTGTGGCGAGGAGGAAACCTTTTCACAACATTTTTTGCAGCTATTACTTGCGGGCTGTCACAAAATTGATTTACTAGACCCCTAGATGACATGGGCCGTCGATGCATGTATCCTATAGGCCAGCACTGCAGGCCCATGACACAGACCAGTGGGTATTCTCTTGATCTCAGGCCAACCAGCAAGCTGTTTGTTGTATGAAAGCGAATATGTCTACGGGAGTGCTTAAGACAGGGCGGCTAACGGCCAGGGGAATCTACTTCAACTACCAGAAGTCCCAGTCCACTGAGTCCAGTCGCTGCGTGGAAACGGGCTTAGGCCCCAGCTTCTTAGCTGTCTCCAGCCTCCATGAACGGTGATAACTCTTCCCCTCTTGCTCCTTTTCCTTGGATATTTTTCTTCTTAATGACCGACGTTCCTTCTTTCCAGCGCTTCATTCCCTTTTCACTTTGCAAGTTTCTCAATTCGCTCCTTTTGCCGTGCAATCTACGCATGCAGTTCACTCCGGCCTGCCTCTCATCCCTTTTCCTATACTGCGCAGTTCTGCGCTCACACCGTCACTACATGATGGAATATCATCCCGATGATTTCTACTCGTTACCGCCAGCTTTAAGGCGCAAAGTAAGACTTTTTGGTTCCTCCTCGCTCATATTCTCCCTGATTTTTACTTCGTTTTTCTTTGTCGCTCGCGGTTTCAAATGCAGGATTGTTTTACCCGACCTGCAGCAGATGTACAGCACATCACCCCCCTCACCGTTATTTCGCTGCTGCACCCTGCTGGCGGTTAATCTCACAACTGGGATCTACTGTTTTAATGTTCGTCGATGAGGAACCTGGAAGAGCCGTCAAATGTGTCCGGGGCTTTGCGAACCGTTTCACAACATGGGGGTGGATTTGTCTGCAGCTGTCATATTCCCTTTGGGAAATACGTAGCAAGCCGTACAAACGTTTGCTATGATATTATTTCAACGATTTTCCCCATCTTCCAGAGGAGCGAGACGTCATAAAGTTCTCTTTACCGCTTATCAGCGTTGGATCTGGTGGCGGGCCGTTAGCGCTGGACGCTATGCAAGGGCGGTGTTGTCCCTCCGTCGACTGGCCTGGGCTGTTGCCAGTTCTTTGCATTTGAACCCTGCAACAATAATCAGAGAGACTCGACCTCGTTCCCACAACATCGGCTCAGTCCGGCGGGATGCAACGCCGATGTGGTGGAAGATGAGTTGTGCGGCGCTGTTCCTTTCTGGCCGCTGTTCCCCTCACGCTATCGCTCGAATGTGCTATTTAGCTCCGGGCTAGTGATGCTAATGACGAGTCTGCCCTCGACATTCGGCGTCATGAGCTTCTGTTGGACGAGGCCAGGAGCTTGTCAATTATTGATGCTCGATCGCTGCGTGTGCGATTTTTCACTGGACGACTGGTCACTGTTTCACAGCCGTGGTGATCGTTCGTGGCGTGGATAGCACCCCGCCTAGAGGTTCCCTATTGCTGGCCTGCGATCCAATATTTTACAAAAACATTGCATCAAACATTTTGAATGACCCTAATGGCCAACTGTTCTGCATAATTGGTGGCGCTTGAATTTTGATCGTTCTATTGGCTCTGACCCTTGCAATTTTCCTTTTTTTTTTTTTTTTCTTTTTTTCCCCAAGCTGCACCACTTTCTGAGGACGTTGCGACGGAACAAGGGGCCTTCGCTGACCATTCATTCGCTAAAATCCAATAGTTATTTTCCAATTTAGAGCGTTTTCGCCTGGAACAATTACGGCTCACGCAGATGGTCCACAATGACGGCCGAAGCACCCGCCCCCGTCTGTTAGATGACCTCCCTTTATCCGTTGGCTCGAACTCTAGGCCCAGGACCCCAACAACGCCGACTCGTAAGTTTACCCTCCGGCGGCGATGGTTCTCACTTCCCCTTCCTCACCCTGGTCGCTGAGCTTGAGCCCCACAGCTCGTTGACTCAAGAACCCCTAATAACAGCATCCAACCCAGGGAAACCGCGTCTGAAAGAAAGCCGGCCATTTCGCCGGCTACGAAAAGCAAAATCAGTGCAGATTGCTTATCTCGCTGCTCAAGCCGACTCGGAATGGTTTCGATCACTCCCATCCAAGGTTCAACAACAACATTTTAGTCGAGAGGAGCAGGTTCGACTTGGAGGCTGGCGGAGTAGCATTATTTTCGACGCAGCGGATAGAGCGCTGTACAAACTAGGGCACCAAGCAAGAAGGTCCTTTGAATCTATCTCCTCTGTCCCCACCAGTGCCGGTTTCTCATATTCCACTTCCATGGCGTCGTCCGCGCGGGCAGTTGACTCCGCCATTGGTCTCGACGACAGCTTGTATGATAGTTTTCGCTGGCTAGATGAAGACGAAGAAATTGACCTCAGTCTTGATAACTACCACACTCATATTGCGGAGACTAAAAAGCACATATCGACACCGTCGTCGCGATATTCTCGCCAGCGCCTACAACGTCGACCACAGTCCTTGCGTCAACAAACCTCCTTTCGCCGAACATTGTCATTCAGTTCCACAACCCACCAAAATAGCATATCCAGCAAGATCCCTCCAACCAGCCAATCATCCACCGTTCCATCGTCGTTGACTAATATAACTCCTCCGGCTGCTCACAAACGTTCATTCTCTCGCCCCAAATCCAGTGTGCCCATCTTACGACATATATCTCATGGATCACTTTCTTCACTTGACAGTCCAGCACAATATTACCAAGATCCTGAAGCCCGCCTGAAGCTACGAGTATACCTCGCATCCCCACAAAAATTCGACGAAGCGATCGAATTCGGATTCCCATCCCTGGACAATAAGGAGAATGTCCGTCCCTCCTCGTGTATCACTCGAGCCACGGACAACCATTGAATCCTCCCGCACTTTCCTTGAAGACGCCAGCCCCACCGGGTTACCGGACATCATCCACGAGGATGGAAGTTTCATTGACTTTTCTATTGACTCCCCAACCCTCAATTCCGCGAACTCCCACAGGCATAATCTCCCTCAACAAGCTGTACTACCACGCCATCTCTACACAATCGCATAGCAGAAATTTCAGTGTGGAAAAATCCATACTACAAAGGTCGAATTC